TTTATTCCAACTTTGGTCAAAGGTCTCAAAGCAGGGTTTGGACCCAGTGAGTACCTACTTTATTTGTGTTGCAGGCAGGTTTGTGGTGTTAATACTTGAGAATATATGCTTTCTGTTTATTTGTTGTTTGTCTGAAAATTTCTGTTGCTTTAATACTTTCCAGAATCAACTTTGCATTTGGTTCTGAGGCTCCGTGGTGGGATTATTGAGCCGTCTCTCATGGCATTGGCTAGGAAATACAACCAAGATAAGATGATCTGCCGCAAGTGAGTTCCCAACTTTCTGTTAAGCTTTACACTGGTTTCTTTTGTTTGTCGAGTTCCAATGAAGTCATCTGGTTGTTTTATGAATATAAGCCTACTGAAAATGTTGTTCTTTATCTAGGTTTTCATCAGTTTCCTACTTAAATTCCTTACTTTTTCCACTCACACAACTTCTTTGACATTATTGTATGGATGCTTGTGAACAGGTGCTATGCACGTTTGCACCCGCGTGCTGTCAACTGCAGGAAAAAGAAGTGTGGACACAGCAACCAGGTATTTCCTATAGGAGATAGACCCTGTTACTTTTCTGAATACCAGATTTTTGAGTTTTGTTCTTTATTCGTGTCATTTTCTGTATGAATGCAGCTGAGGCCAAAGAAGAAGGTCAAGTAGACTGTGGATCGTGCCAGCAGAATATTGTGTTTTACTAGGTCATTTAGGTCATTGGCTATTTCATTTGAAACTCTTAGCCTCAAACAGTTTTCTGTTAGAAAGTTTAGAAACATTAATATGTTCGAACTTTACTTGTTTTGGGATTTCTATTTTCCTATGTTTTATTTCGCCATGGTTTGAACCTCTTTGAAGAATGGCATTCATTAAGCTTGAGCCTTTCCATATCGCATATTTTTATTTTTGTGTGTTATTATTGTAACGGGAATGATGAAATTTGTACTTCCACAATCCATATATAATTTGGATACGCCCGTGATTACTGCAAATGGTAATAAGAACGTACATTCTAGCACACAGGATAAGGCTAAGTTAAGGATTCTCTCCCGTATACAGAAGCAAACCATTTTTCATTTGTCCACGACTGTGTTTGCCAATATGACCAGTTGCGATTATTTGTTG